AACAACAACCTTGCTTTATTTATAAGTCAAAATTAAGAAATTCAATCATTTCTTTCATTTGTATGCTGCATTTCATTATGGCATTTTCCCAATATACTTGGGGAAAGAACCGTCTTAAACTTCTATATTTGAATAGCGAAAAGGAGGATCTCTTTATAAGAAAACACAAAATACATCAGCTATATTACAGATACTCATAATGATTCTGGAAAAAGCTATCATGCCTTTTTGAAACAGGAAAACAATAATTGTGTTTTTCTCCATGTTGTTTATTCTCATTAATTTATACACATAACAGCAGCTTGACATTCAAGTACAGGTGCAGAATTCCATACAATTTAGTTGATACAGTGTGAGAAAGAAACAAATGTGGCCGTTCCAGGCAAGAGCTATCACATATCCAAAGTAACCTGGCATTCTGGTCAGTAGTTGTTAGCCCTTATGCTGAGGGCTAACACTGTACAGACCACAGGCCTTTTGAAGCATAGTTTATTTTTGTGGAAACCTTCAAGAAGTTTGTGGAACTTGCTCTTCCTGTGTTTCCTAAAGAAAAATATACCTGCACAGTATGGTGCTATGTGAATCCCATCATGCAAAGGTCGATACCAGGTGCACTGTTTACGCTTCACAGAATAGCACAGAACAGAGAAACTTTTCTCATCCAACTTGAAGTTACATACCATATTCCATTATAAGTCTACATGTCTTGCAAGATCTATTCACAGAACTATGCAGGCGCAGTGCACCGGCTGTGAGCAAGAGTACAGGTACTCCATTTAGCATACATTTGCACTTCGCTTCCACATGGTTCTGGTTTCCATTTCTCTTGTGTTTTCTAAGTGTGGACTGATATAAGCAGATAAGAAGTGTTCACTCTCTTTGTTGTACGCCCAAGCCCTGTGGGAAGAAAAGGTGTGTTTTATAGGCATACAGGTTATTTAGCAGTTGTCGTCATCATCATTTTTGCCATATGCTGCAGTAGAAGAGCAGTGCCTTTCCTCATGGAATCATACAGCTTTTACTTTCCTGGCTGAAGAAAATGGAGGTAGGAGAATGTGTGGATGGCAGTAAATCACTAGCGTGGATTTGGTTGACTCAGAAAATAGGTGTTGATTAGGAGACATTCAGGAAGCATTGGTTTGTGATGAGAAGCAGTCAGTTTCCACTGACGCTTCAGGGCTGTAGATTGTACTACAAACTTACTAGAGAGGTGGCGGCAGCAGCACCATCCTTCCCCTTTGTGCTGGAAGTTGCTGTCTGTTCTCAGTGCCAGCCCCGTTGTGGGCGATACTCGGTGCCTTCCACTGCCAAGTGCACGTTTCAAGGCAATATATGTGAACTCTAGAGAGTGCATCTTTCCCCCACCTGCTGCCTGATCGCTACACCACTGTCTCAAGAGGTAAATGATTTCTCACTGTCTGCTTCTGTGAGCACTGATAAAACACTCAGTGACAGCGTAAGTCACTTTTGCGTCGTTACAATGATGGCAGTGGTTATGGGCCTCATTCAACACCCTGTTCCCCCCAAAGTTATTGGAAAAACTCCCATTTACTGGGATTTAGGCTGGACCTGTATCAGCCAGCCTGGTCGATTGGATGATGCTGACATTCGCTTAGATCCTAATCTCACCGACTTCTGAAGTCTGCAGCGGACGTGCAGCGTTCGTCGTTTCCATTGCACCCGGGGTAGTGCAAGGCACTGTGTACAATTAGACCCTGCAGTTCTCCAGGTACATTTCCATGAGCGACTAATGCTGACAGTAGCACATTGACTCTTTCCTCATAAGAGTTGAACACAACTACTTAAGACTAAAGATTAACTTCCTCAGAGTTTAAAACTGTTAATTTGTCAAATTTGAAAACTGAGGTTAAGTTTGGCCATAGCTGTTAATTAACTTATATGATAGCTACCAATTTTTTACTTTTCTGGGATTTTCCATTTCAAAGACATTGAAATAAACAGAAAAGTACATTGCTAATCACATTGAGACGATGGAAGGGTTTTGTTTGTTTTACTGAGTCATATGCTTTCTTGAAATTTCAGTCCTCTCTTGATTTGTTTGGCAGTCCAAATTATGGTATACTGTTAAGTATATACATACAGATAATACATGAACTTCTGGAGGTCACAAGCACTGAAAAAAATCATAGAGGTACTGTTATTTTCAACCATGCAGACAAATTCATTTAGTACAAGAGGGAAATAGTTCTTTGCACTAGTTCAATGATATTTCTAGGATGCAGATCATGTATGAGATTCTGCATGGCTATACCCTGTAGCTCAACAGTACTTAGGAAAAACAAAGTTACTATAAAAGAGGAACTATTTAAAAATCTAATACCTCATAAAGTACTGAATTAAAAACATACCTTGCATATATGTATGTAGATTGTCATTTGTTCAAGCAAACTGATGCCTGACTGATTAATCAGTGACAGACAAATGCAGACGTGCTTAAACAGTGCTACATATTTCACCAAAATGGGAGGAAAGAGGCTGGGCAGAAAGTTATCCATGCATGTAGATTTATTACAGAGATACGAAGTGTCAAAATGTCTTGTCTTTTTAGATTATGCTGATATACTCCATTTGTAACCTGAAAAGTTACAGTGCTTTTTAAGACAGTATTTAAAAATGCCATTGATTTGAAGAAAAGTTAGCTTTCTACTAACACCTGGTCTGGGCTTGCTTGTCCACCTGGCTTGTTTAAAAAAACATGCCGGCTTTGGAAAAAGATTTATAGATGTGCAGCAATCAGTTGCCTATGTGCAGTGCTCTGTGCATGTACAACCGGATAAGCGCATGGGCAGTCAGCTGGATGCATTTGGCATGCATCCAAGTTGCTGTGCACGTATATATCAACTGCACGGTGCTCTCCCTGTGAGCTCTGAGCTGGGGTGTTTATCACACCGCTGCTTCTCCTGGCCTCCTCCCCTCTCCGCTGGAAAAAATCATTTGTCTTGCTTGCTTGCCAGCAAGACAAATTGGGGAAAATCAGCCATCCTGGCTGGAAGTCAGCAGCCCTGATCAGGGTATCCAGTCATGTCCTCTGAGGTTGTTCCTGCTGGGCGTCGTGTGCCTTCGATGTACTTTGACACCGGCTCCATGTGATTCTGAGGGCAAGAACTGGCTCACAGCGGGGAGAAGTGGTGATGCCACGTATCGACGCTCAGTTCCATTTGCCTTCTGGCAGCAGTGAAACAAGGCTTGGCATTTCCGCTCTGTTCCTATGTTCTCCAGTATTTTCCCCAAAGGTGCAACCAAGTTCAAGTGCTCGTTATTGAAGCAATGCACATGAATTTAGCATGAAACTGATAACATTCACATTCTTTTAAGATTTTTTTAAACTACGAATTTTACAGAAAACTGGTAGTCTTTCATACATCCGTACATATTTTCGTGCTCTCTTTTTGATGCATGTACATACAGTGTGTTAATTTAAGCTGTTATTAGAAATGAATACATCATTTTTTTGTTTTCATAGGCATACACTGAACGTTAAGCAGATAATGTATCCAATAGTTTTGTACTCAGAGCTGGTTGCCTAGCAAGAGTAAACAGATGCCCAGGAATCAGCTTGATTTAATGACTTTTAAAGGTGGGATATCAAGTCCTTTGACAATGGCTTCTAAAAATAAGATTAAATTAGTGAAACAGTAAGTTCTCCGTTACCTGAAAGTCCAAGTGTTCTTACATAGTTAAATACTGGTTATTGTTTTCCATAAATTCAGTCCCACAGTTAGGTAAAATTTTCTCATTGGTAGTCATTCTTGTGAAGGTCTTCGGGTTTGCAGTCTCAAGACACACTTCTCAGTGCTAAAGGACCAACTGAAAGTAATTTTGAAGGGATCTTCAATTTAGGAACTAATCATTAATCAGAGTGGCTACAGGGGGAGTACAGCAGCAGAGTGGAATAAAATAATCTTGTCTTGCTGCCCAGATTGAAAAGACTGTTCAAATACTTGCGACACATTTCAGTTTCTGAATTCTTTCTCCTCTTCTTCTCTGCATTTATTTCTTTGTCTTAGTAAACATTTGGCTAATAGTGTAGAGTGCATCATTAAAATAATAACATACATGTGTGCGTATATGTATACACAGCATGTCATGTATATGAAACAAGAATATGTCCTTATTCAACAAGCTTCCTATGAAGTCCTTTTGTTGCACCTCTTTTTACTCCAGTTGCTACCGTAATGATCCTCCAACAGCAAGAAACTAGTGCTCCACCTTTATAACTGTTCTTTTCATGCAAAGCAGTGCCTCAAATGTGTTTTTTTTTTTTTTTGTGTGGAATGAGGTGTTTGTTCTGCCGGGCTCAGACAAGCTCCTGAGCCAGGATATGGGAGTGGTGCTGGGGCGGGGATGGGGGGACACGGCACGGGGGCCACCAGGCTGGTCCTTCGGAAGTGCTGCGAGTTTGAAGGCAAACGAGGGGCAAATCTGGAGCCCCGGGTTGTGGGTCCGGGGCTTCGGAATTCGCCACGCATTTCTTTTGGAGGGATGGAAAGGGTGCCCAGTCTTCCTTTATCCTCAGGGGCCCTCTGTGGGGCCAGCCAGTTTTCCAGGGAAGCCAGGTAGCAGCTTCCTTTGGGATCTGGTGGCAGCCAAGCTCCGGATTCACCTGCTGTGGGTAACAGCATGGCGTCCCACCACCGCATTTGCCAGCTGCTCCGGTGCGACATCCCTCAGACATCTTTTGTGCCTGTCTGACATCGCATTGGGGGGGAAAAAGGTTGGCCTGGAGCACTGTGTGAAGTTTTGTATTACTCTGAAAAGGAAGAAGGAAAATTAAAAACTTGTTATGGCCTTTTCTTTACTACAGAGAAAGGTAGTAAATAACTAACAGAAGACAGTTGTTTCTAATGCCTGTTTTAGCTAAAATAACGGGGGTTAATTATTAAACCTTTTACTTGGTTGCTCACTTGTGCTGCTGATGCTTTAATCCTGGGTCACAGAAAGTTTAAGAGTGCTTTACAGGGGAGACTCACTTCTTTTTGCCTCAACATTTCCATGCTGACGGGATGTTACGGGTTTTGCTGCTTACTCTCTCTGTAGTTGCCGTTGCTCATGCTGAGCTCTGCAAGCCGGGTAAGTTTTGGAGCTGATAAATGTAGCTATGAGTTTATGCCTACAAAGCTGTCAGCTTCTCAGATTTTTATTTTAGCTGGTTGTCTCCAGTTTGAAGATTGAAAGGCTGAGCATTCGCTTCTTTTATCAGTTTGCAAATTAAGTACGGAAGTTGATCTCATTTTAAAGAGGTCACGGTAAACCTCACTGAGACTCTGTAGGGCTGCGGCATTTGTCATGCTAGTAACTTCTGTTCTCCTAACCAGGTGACCTGTTCAGACACATTTAGAAGCTGTGATTTGTGAAATAACTAGAGAAGTAAATGATTTTAAATCCTATTTTGGCTGACTATCAATATATGTTTGCTTTTTTCTCTTTGTGTCAGATGCGCAGAATGCTTTCAAAGTACGGCTTAGTATCAAAACAGCTTTGGGAGATAATGCAGTAAGTAAAGTATCTTCACATATTCTTCCTAACTGAATATCTGCCAAAATAGAGAAGTAATATATACTGGTAAATTTCTGAAGACGGCACAAGCAATTTGTTCTGAAGTCTTAATTGTAATAGCTTGCTCAAGCCATGATCCAGGCATCCATTTCTTGACATTTGACTAGCCCACTCCTTAAAATGGCATCCTTTAAGAGAAGTATGAAGCTTGGCTTTTCATAAAGACAATTTTCTGTCAACGATTCCCCCCCACCCTCTCCCCCCCCGGAAAAACAGTAGAGATGTTTACACTTTATGCATGGGAGGGGCTGCATAAGTCTAAGTCTGTATTTTGCGAAAAGCACTTCTGCTTGAGAGTGCTAATTGAGAAGTCAAGCATGTCTGGGAAGAGAAGCAGGAAAAGATTGTTAGGTCTTTGTGAAATGGGACTTTATGTCAGCCTCTCAGATCGGTAGAGATCTCTCAGATCGGTAGAGAGCATATCTCGTCAATTCCCTACTAATGCAGGGCTTCGGACAGTGGCCTTTCTTCTCTGCCTGTGGTGCACAGGCTGGTCTCATGAGGACTGAAGTGCTTTGGCTTAATTCGAGTCCTTGGGCTTAATGTAGAAGTACTGGTGTGAGCAATAAGGGTCTGTGATACGTAAGAGATTGGGACATTAGATGACCGAATGGTCCTTCCTGATTTAAAGTGCTATGAAATATAGCAGAGCCCAGTCCTTCATTTGCAGTTTTGAATGCTTAAAGCAAATCTGCAGCGTGATACAGGGCTCAGCATAAAATTGGATATGAAATGTCATGGACAGTCACCTCCACTGGAAGTCTGGTGTCTGATTATGTTAGGAGCCCTGGGAAACAAAAAGCAGTAGGTTACATGTTATAAGAGATTGCAGATAAGAGATCTCCCTATGACCGTAGAAGCCATTCTAAAATTACCCTGAAATATCAGGTAATTTAAACTAACATTAACAGGGACCTAATTCCACTGGTAGCTTCATAAACCAGGCAAATTGGGAAGAAACATTCAAGATACACGCTAAAGTATTTGCCTGTGGAAATTTGTATTGAAGTCAGTTCTCTTGGGTGAGAGACTTTAATTAAACAGTAGTGCGAGCCTTGTTTGCTTACAAATTTATTAAAAATAGGGTAATCCTATGGATGAAAATGTCAAAATCATTATTGAAGCTCCTCTTGATGATGACTGCTAATATTTTGATTTAATCTTGGTTCAAAATAGTAGCAAAGAATGAAAATTGCAGTTCCCAGTAATGCTCTTTCTTAGTGCTTTTTATTTCTCCAGCTATAGTAAAATAAGGGGGTTTTGTTTGATCATTTGTGATTTTTTTTATTTTTCATCCAAAAAGGGTATGATACAAATCATTAATCTTAAAACTACTTTATACTACAAGAAAAAAGCGATAACTGAGGCATTTAGTGTTTTTTGTAGATAGATAGTAGTTTATTTCATATAACAAAGTGTGTGAAAGCCCTAAGAATAATCTAGAACAGCATTTTAGAACAACACGCTCAAAGTGGTGTGATACCTCACAAAATTACCCACAAATAATGAACAATTTATTACACGCACAGGTAGTAGTTCCTTTTCATAGCCATTGCAATCTTCTTTGCAAATGACTGAAATCTGAAACTACTATGAAACTGAAATTCATTTTGGTTGAAGAATTTGGGACACTTTTTTATTTTATTTATTTATTTTAGCAAAGAAAAGAGCAATACTGTCATTGTATCACAGTAGGACACAGCCAGCTTAGAATATCTTGGTATGATGCTCTGCTACTGAGTTCCGTTTCATTCATTTCCAAGTCACTTCAACCTAGGTGATAACAGAAAACCCTGATACTGTGGGCATTTTGCTCTAGGACTGGCAGGATAACTGCAATGTATATTCAGGGGCACAGGAAATAGGTTAGTGTAGTTTTCCACATGGTTTAGTTCATGCCACCCACTTTGTGTGAGGCTGATAAAGACAGGACACCATTTTTTAATTTGTTCACAAGACAGGCTGTACTTTGAGGCAGGGAGTGCCACTTAGTGTATTTATATAGTTCTTATCACAATGGAGCTGGAAAGAGCAGCTAAGATACAGTGAGTATTTAGCTGTTATCATTTTAATTGCAAATAATGGGTGTACTTGACAGATACGTTGTTTGCTAAGCGGTGGGAGGAAACATGGTGTCTGTAAGCCTAAATGGAAGGAGGGTGATTTATGAGTCTCTCTGAGAATGGTGTTAACTTTATGAGTGGCTTCTGGAATAGCTGCTAGTCACTAGTTGCTTCCTACTCATGGAGTTAGCAGAGTGGTAGAGAGTTAATTCAGAAGGGCCAAAGACAACTAGGGAGTGAGCAGAAGTGATGTGCACTGAGAAGTCTATGTAACTCTGCATCACCACTCAGTTCAACCATAAGAGTCAAGGAGCTGGCACCTCAGGGGCTGCAGCCAGGTGAAGGAGAAGGTGCGCTTCCCTTCTGGCCCATGTATTCAGGCTGTTTCCAGGGTAGAGGATGAAGGGGAGAAAGGCTGACATGCACCTGGTATCTTGCCACCAACTGGGACCCAGAAGTGCGTTCATGTGTCTGTAGCCGCACTGCAGTCTGAATGGCTGTCTAGTTAAAACAGAGAACCATTCAGGAGGGAAGGGACCTTGGACTAGTCCCCTGCTGCTCAAAGCCAGGTCAACACTGAAGTTGGATCAGGTTGCTCAGGGCAATCTTGTAGTATTATAATCATCTTCTGCTAGCTTAAATTTTGTCTTCCTTAGAGCACTACTATAGCATTTCACCCCATCAACAACCTAGGCTCATTATCTTTTACCCATTATCTCATCAACCTCCTCTTTCACTAACAGGCACTTAAGACTGGCTTTCACAGTCAGCTGTCTCTAATTCTGCTCCTCCTTAACGTATAAAGGATGGCAAATGCAACCGAGCCAAGGTCTTTGTTCCTTTGTAGAACAAAGATGATGGTAAACATTAATAGTTCTGATACCGTCATGTAAGGTTTCATTGATAACAGACTTCTGTTCATAGTGTGTGTGGCTGCAAATGATACTTAATACATTTCCTCTACAGCAGCACAAACCGTGCATCAGTAGGTGCACTGCATGGGAACATAAGATCAGAAGCAACATCCTCAGTCATCAGCTGCAGTCCAGACCTTTGCAACTGGAGGATAAAGATGAAACTGATAAAGCCCCATAGTAGTGATTCAGGTTTCTTTGCACCTATCCCTCTGACTGGAGAAAGCTGATGATAAGAAATTGGCTTCTGGCAATTCGTGCCCACTTGTCCTTAGTTAATACAGTTTATTAGCTTAAAGGTATTCTTGCCATACTTTTCCTCCTCATTATGTTGCCTCCCCCCTGCATATTCCTGTGTCCAGTCACGTACAGAGGTTCTTGTTCATATGGAGCCCACAGCCATCTCCATCTCCTCTACCTTCGTCTGATCACTGTTTTCTTGGCGCTTCTTGCACTTCTGCCCAGAAGGTTGTCTGCAGCATCTTCTCCTCACTCAAGCAGACCCCTGATTTCTGCAGAGCTTTCTCTGCCCGTCTCCTCCACCGTTTCTTGCAGCTTTCTGTTTATTCTCTTTTTTTAAAGTACTTACTCTTTCAGCTGGAGCTGGGGTTCCTCACTAAAAATTATTTTCCCTGTTTTGAGATACCCTTTTTGTTACTCTGACTTAAAGAAGCTCTAGGCTACTGCAGTTTATGAAAACTGAATACTTAATAGTGACAAATTGTGCATATATACATGTACTGCATGAAACATAAACATATCAAGTACATATACTTGGTAGCGCTGCATTGCATTTGTGTCTATGTAAGCATGAAATGCAGTGTGCTTCATCATTATCCATTTTCAAGACAACTGATTAAATTATGTCTACAGCTGGTTTAATCCACTGGATAACAACTGATTTTTTTCTGTCCTTTTGGACCTGTTCTCGAAGACTGCAGATGGCATGTAGGGATTCAGTCAATAGTACTACACACAAAAAAGGGAAGATCTTCCCTTCTAGTGCTGCAAATTGTGCTCTGTGGTTTAAATACAGATGTCTTTAAAATTACAATAAATAGTTTCATGGCTCCCATCTGTATTAATTCCTCTACTAGATTATCTCTTTTTCTTTTAGTACTAGTTGCTATCATTACTGTCACGTTTTCATCAGTGCAGTGGGATCAAAATACAGGCTTTTATAATTTCATTTCAAAGAGTCTCTCCTTTTTTTTTCACAGTTTAAGTTCCCAGACTGGCATGCATTATCACAGCATGCTTACATCTCCCTTCATTCACAAGGCAAGAGTGGTGAGTCAGAACCCAGATTCTCAGCACTGCATCTGGATTTTAATGCTACTCAAGTTGTCTGTTGCTCAGCTTTGTTGTCCCTGTCCTGCCACATCTCAGAGAGCTCATTTCAGAACTCATCATTTGTTTAGGGATGATGAATATGATCAGTATGACTTTCTGCCCCTTAAAGGACTGCCTCCTTCCCTGATGAGGTTCCCTGTCCACAGGATGTCAGAGCAAAATGAGAGCTGATGCCTGGAATTTGGATTCCTTCTTTCTGCAGAGAGGTTGCAGGTCCATGCATCCAAAATCAGAATTTAAAAACCAGAATTAAAATTTGGCATTTTCAACGCTGTTTACGCTACTGCTTTTTTGATGTTGTCAACAGGGTTAAGTATCCACACCATTGGGTTTCTGGTTTGGATGATTACAGTGCAGATTTTTTTAATGCTGAAAGTTAAAGATTAGATTTGTGTTCTGATTGACTGAAGAAAGCTGCCTCTAACCTCCATTAATATAATTCCAAGAAACTATTAATCTTTGTAATCTGCTGAAAGGGGAAATTCAATCAGTATGCCTCAGTCATGGCTCTTTTTATAAAAATGTAATAGGTGCAGTTCTAACAGATCATTAGAATTGCATATGTGAATGAAAGCCCAGAGGAACCTAGTGAAGCTATCTCAGAAAACTGAAATTACAGAAGCATGATTTTTCATCAAGACAACAGAGTTTTTGGAGCCTTTATTTTACTTCTTAGCTATTTTCTTTCTTTCGTCTCACGTGCAATGTAGTAATTTGTACTATAGTTGAGTCTGTCTCCTTGTTGCAAGGATGCCGTGCAGCAATAAGGCCATCATCTCATTTTATTTCCTGGTGTCCTGACATCCAACTCCCAAAGACTGCCTTCAACATTAGCTTTTTTTTATTTTTGGGCAGAGCCAAATGGTCTTTGAGAGTAGATTTAAACCTTCTACTTTAACAGGGTTTATCCAGCAAAAGAGGCAAGGCCATGGGTGCAGCTGCGTGGGGACAATTCTAGTAACATGCCTAGTCTTTGGTACAAGAAATTTTACATCTACCATTTGGTCAGGTTTCAGAAATATTCAATTCATTCAGTTTTTGCAAACATTCTTTGCACTTTATATTGTGCTTTATAACAGCCATTAGAAAAAGTCCTTTGTGCACACTAAATAATGGGCAGGAATTTATTTTCATAGCACAACCAGAGAATGTATTCATTTTCTTGATCAATATAGCATTTCAAATTTGGTGACTTTTTCCTCTCTGTACTGCCAGCACTAGTGCTGAAACTGATTATTTTCCATCTTCCTTTACAGTATGTGTGGGATGCTAATGAAGAGTATCTCTTCAAAGCAATGGTGGCTTTTGCAATGAGAAGATATTCCAGCAAGACCACAACTCAGTAAGCATCTACTCTGATTTGCCTTATACATATTAACAATGCTTCATGTCGTGGCGCATTCTCTGCTGTACTGAACTGTAGAAATCATTATATACAGCGTCTAAAACCAGACAGTTCCAGTATATTTCTTTGACACCCAGATACACGTTAAACATCACACTCTCTCTGTCTTAAGCAATGTTCAATCTTTGGACCAGTATCCCTGTTGATGTGTCCTGGTTTTGGCTGGGATAGAGTTAATTTTCTTTCTAGTAGCTGGTATAGTGCTGTGGTTTGGATTTAGGATAAGAAGAATGTTGATAACACACTGATGTTTTAGTTGTTTCTGAGCAGTGCTTACACTAAGTCAAGGACTTTTCAGCTTCCCATACTGCCCTGCCAGCGAGGAGGCTGGAGGTGCACAAGAAGCTGTGAGGGGGCACAGCCAGGACAGCTGACCCAAAGTGGCCAAAGGGATGTTCCACACCATACGATGTCATGCTGAGCAAAAAACCTGGGGGGAGTTGGCCAGGGGGTGTGGCCAGCCAGGACAGCTGACCCAAAGTGGCCAAAGGGATGTTCCACACCATACGATGTCATGCTGAGCAAAAAACCTGGGGGGAGTTGGCCAGGGGGTGTGGCCGCTGCTGGGGCAATGGCTGGGCGGGGTGGTGAGCAATTGCATTGTGCATCACTTGTTTTGTATATTCTTTTTTCATTATGATTATTTTCCCTTCCTTTTCTGTCCTATTAAATTGTCTTTATCTCAACCCAGGAGTTTTAGCTTTTTTCTGATTCTCTCCCCCATCCCACTGTGGGGGAATGAGCGAACAGCTGTGTGGAGTTTAGCTGCCTGCCAGATTAAACCACGACATGGTGTGTGAAGTGACACAGCTGTGGATCTCAGTGGGATTGTGCCAGTTCACTCTAGCAGAATCTGGCAGTGAGACATGATACCTTCTGGAGACCATACTGGGAGGAGGTAAAGGGACACATTGGCAAGTTCAAGAAATGCAGTACAGATCCTTGAATAAGCAGTTTGGTGCACATTTTCTTAGAGCACAGCTTCAGCAGTATGCTAAAGATGAGCTGACTCAGAGAACTGGAAGGTGGATAGCTATGCTAGTGCTGTGTTCTGCTGGGGGTATCTTTCCCTAATACTGCAGTGGTTGAGTTACCTAGCGTCAAGAAGTTTCAGATGTTGCAGTTCAGACATAGATCAGCCTTTAATTGGTTTGGGGATTAAATCTACCCTGAGGTATTGAATATTCTTCTCAGGCTTCTGATCCTTGCTACTTTCGAAATTAGATACCAGATTAGACAGAGCATTTAGCAAGCTGTATTTTCAGTATGTTCTTACCTTCCTTAAATGAGAAACCTGGTAAGTGTATTTCTGTAGGCCTATTATTTTTTTCATTGTTTTTCAATCTTAAAGGAAAGATTTGTGGTTCTGGTAGGCTAATGAGGATAAGGTTCTCAATTGACTTAAAAAAAATGCTTCAGGCTGTCATTGCATCAGATGAAGCATATTCCACATTTGCGAAGATATTAGTTAACTTTAGTCACGTGATGATTATTGTGCTGCACTTTCCACACTCCATGTAACAGGAGTGTTTGGTTCCTTGCTGTTTCATTTTTATACCTCAGAAGTTGTCTCCTTTAGGCAAGAGAGCCATTACACCAAGCTTAACAAAACCAGCCAAGTACGCTACTGCACCCAATTAAAATGACACGTAAAAAAATGAGTTCAAGATACAAGCTAATTAAAGGTGATTATTCAGGGCTTTTTCTCAGGTTTTCAAATTAGCAGAGTTTTCATCCAGTATCTTATCCATAAAGAATCGCTTTTGTATACTTATTTTAGTCCCAGGTCCTTTTTTGCTTCAAAGTCATGGTCCTTTCACATAGCAAAAACCCTGTGTCAGAAGCCAGTGATCATCTTCCTCCTCAAGCACCATGGATCTCTGCAGACTCAACTAATATTAGAAAGCTTGGTGCAGGAATGGGAAAAATGTCAAATCAGTGTGAAAGGAGTTATCTCTCTCCACTCTGGGAAATGACAGAATTTATGCTCACTTAATTCAGTTTCCTACCAAGACAATTTTTCCTATCGGCAAGTACGATAATGTCAGTGTTACTCCAGTTTGGAGGTGGAGTTGCACACATCAATAATTTTCTGCTACTATGTTTGTCAGAGGAGAAGTCGGTATAATATTTGGAAACAGCTAGGTGTGGGCACCTTTACCTCTTTTTAAGATGGTAGACTTCCTCATGGGGTATAACTTGTTGGGGTGTACCTTGGAGGTATAACTGATAACCTTCTAGGCCTTCTAGATACCTTTGGGGTCATGTGTAGACAGCATGTCAACCGAAGGACAGCTGTGCAGCTTTGACATCTGGTACAACTTACTAGGCAACAGGCCGAGGACTTCCCTATCTGTAGATCTCTCCCACATCCCAAGGGACCTCTGAGTCCCTGTTCAGTGATGGAGAGCTAGATGAACGTCCCAATACACCCCAAATAACCTGCCTGTTACATGGGAGCAGGAAAGCTATGAAAGCCTCCACCCTGTTAGAAGTCCTGGAAATAATGCACTCCTTGCCCCACCCGTGTGGCTGTCAGCTGGAAGGAACTGGGTATAGAGGAAGGAGTGCGGTCCATCTCCATCCCCTCTGCAGTGGGTATGGAGGTGTGGGAGCACTCAGCATCCCAGAGGGTACAGCAGCATGCCATGCACACAGGAACGGCATTCCCGCATATCTGGTAAGGATAGTGGCAGGGGCTTGCGGTGTGGTGAAGAGGGAGGCAGTTGTGGCAAATAAATGACATTACACTACAGGAGCCTTTACAGATAAATGCCAGCAGTTTTTCTTCAGGAGCTGTAAAAGATCAATGATCAATTATTCTGTCATAAAAGAACAAACTAATTGCTTGTGACTGCATTCTGGTAGCATCTAAATTTACCCAAATTTTGCATCTGGTTAATTAAAGATTTTTGTCAAAATGAAGACTTATGAAAAATTCACCAGTATTTTACATAACCAAATACTGGTTCTGCCAGGGTATAAATTCTGCACAGGGCCATAACCAGGATGTGACAAACCTCCCCTTTAACATCCCATTAATTTCTAACACACCCACAGCCCTGCAGTAACTCACAGCCGCGCTAACTCCCACTGGAGACCAAATGCCATTAACTTCAGCAAGCTGGATCAGGCCCCAAAACAGTTTGTCTGATGGATCAGCATAACCATTGTTGCAGTCTGTCCCATCATTTTTGAGATTCAAAGTCACCTTTTGTTAGGCTTCTGAAGCTGGATAAAAGCCAGCCTCTAATGACAAGCATTTGAATGTGCTGCTGGAAACAACAGTTGATGCTGTTGTTGCCCTCGTGTAACCACCGAGGGACCCAACGCAGAGTGGACAGGGTTGCACATTACATCTCGAGTTCTCTAAAGTTAATTTCTAAACTAAAATTTAATAAAGCATGGAGCTGTGTTTAATGTTTGAAAGGCTTGTCAAATTTTCAAGTTTGTCTGAAACAGAAGAAAGACACAATCCATCAAATTACTCAGTAATTATTAATACAGATAAAATAAATTCTTTCTCAATGGAGAAATAAACCCCCTTTATTTCCTGCTCTATATATGGCCTTTCAAGTCATTCTCAATACATACATTCATGAACTATGTAAGCCAACCTTTGATCTCTCAGTGTTAAAAAATTATTGTCTATAGTCTGTGTTAGTAACCGTGATTTCTCTAATCTGTGACTCATTTGAAATAATATGCATCTCTTTTGGGCCTGAGACTAGTTAATCTTTAGAGCAGAAAGAAAGTCATCACATTTACTTTCATTCAAGTAACAGAACCTACTTTTGGTACATCTTCCACCCATTTGTGGATAAAAAAGCTGCAGTTTTCCTCATGAAGTGACCAAAAAAATTCATCATAGAATCAACATTACCCATCTTCCTAAGACAGGCTATTTTGATACTAAAAATATTGTGACCATTTAGAACAACAAAATAAACTTCTAGAGTTAAAGCTGTTACACCAAGGTGACCTCATGGCTGCTGTTCACAAAAAGGAAGAAAATAACATCCCTTTACAGGAACAGCTGCACAGCACTGGGTTGGAAGTGGCCTGATGCTTTTGGGAGAGCTGGAGGTAGGTGCTTGGGACTTGGGGACTGTGGTTCTCCCACAAGCTAATGGCCACTGTAGGCACCCAGCTCCCTTTGAGTCTCTGGCAGCTCTTTCTTACCCCTAAATAATCCTTTGAATGTCCATAAGGAACAACAATGGTGTTTCAGGCCAAGGAACCATCAGGGTTTTCTGCACTCTACTCACTGGTGTTCACTTGTGTCTATTAAAGGAAATGCAGTTTTGGACTTTTGCTATGGTGCCATAAGGCAGAACCAGGATCTTGTAATTTTGATGATAACAGTCTCCTATAATCCCCATGACAAGTCTATCACCTGCTAAGGAAATAAAAAGATGTCCACATATATGTTTACAAACACACTTTACCGCAGTGCATGGAAAAGTCAGGTTTCTCAAATCTAAACAGTGTAACGACATAGTTTTGTAATGCTTCTGCATGCTGTGAATCAAACCTGCATGCAAATAGCACAGGGGAAAAAAAGGCATACCTGCTGCAAAGAAATTGCCACATTGGTGCTTGTTGAAGCAGTCTGTTTGGGTATTTACTCAATCCCCTTGGAACTTCTCATGAGCAGTATTACTCTCTTTGAAGCCTGGAAGAATTTACAGCATTCAGATTCCACTGATGAAAAAGTGGTGGCAGTGAAGCCAGGTTTTGGATGATTATAATTGAGCAAGGATTTTAGACACAACAGGGAGCAGAAAGGAGGCAAAATTTACGTATCCTGGTGTAAGCCTTGCTGCTCAATTGATT